TCTATAGGATTTTGTAACTCTAACAATGAAATTCCACGTTAGAAGAAATAAGTTGGTTAAAGGTATTGGGGTTCAGAAGTCTAAGGTAAACTATAGACTAAGATTTCTAAAAAAACTTAAAAAAGCAGTTGAGGGATTAATTTTATAGATATCAAGCATATATTCAAAAAATTTGATCAATTATAGGATTTTTGATTTTGTTCAAAGGTCATTTGAAGAGTTTAGAGTTGTATTCCAGAAACCTAAAAGGCTACCTTATAAAAGGTTTCATAACCATCCAATTATAATTAAATAGGGCACTTCATCAATTAGTGTAAGGCTATACAATTAGTGTAAGGCTATACAAGTATCTTTATTACCAAATAGATGAAAAAGAAAAGATTGTTAAAGAGTTATTGTAATTAGGTAGCATCAGACCTGGTCAAAATCTTTTTTCTTTATTAGTGTTATTAGTAAGAAAAGTTTATGAATCATAGAAGATGTGTGTTGATTATAGAGCTTCAAACAAAGAAACAATTAAAGATAAGTTTATAATTCATGTGGTTGAAGAACTCTTAGATAAGCTATATAGGTTATAATTTTTCTAAAAACCAGACCTAAGATCTAGATTCCACCATACCATAATGAAGACTAAAAACATCCACAAGACTACCTTTAAGACCTAAGATCGTCTGTAATTATTAAACTTAGTCTCTTCGTAAGTTAAATAATACATCTTCGATTTTGATAGCAAACTTAGCAATAGATTAGTTAGAATAATAACTTAGAGTCCACTCTAACAATGAAAATAAATAATCATAAAAAATAAGTATAGGAAAACATTCACATTCATTATATAAACTAAAAGGAAAAAATAAAATAAATCTCATAGGTTTTTTAAATCCATAGGCTTCTGTATCATTTCAACTAAGAAAAATAACTTAGTCTTGCATGACTATTAGAAAAATAAAAAAAATAAAAGATGAAAACATAATTTTGAGTGTAAAAAAAATAATAATCGTTTTTTCTTCTTTCTAACCGCCACCTTCTTCACCTCTCTCTATCTTTTCTTTTTATCAAATAAAAAAACCTAATATTCACCTTTCTACTAATTCATTTTTATTAGGAAAGAAAAAAAAGTGTCCTTTTCAAATCTACATTTAAGTAGTACAATAACTATTTTTCCTATAAAGAAGGAAAAATAGTCTTGCATGAAATATTCAGGTTTTGACTTTGAATTTGGTAAAGTTAATTTGCCCATTTAAAGACCATTTCCATATAAATAAAAAATATTCATATCGGTTTGGATGTTTGGAAAGAAAGTTGGACTTGTTCCTTTATAAAATCTGCCTATTGTAAAATTTATAGGTTATCTTAGAAAAATTATATATCTCTCATATGAGCTCTTGTTCTGCTGCAATTCGATAATTGATAGGTATTTGAGTTAGAAATCCAGTAAAATTAAGTTTGCAACAAACAGATTTCTCTAAATCAAGATATTCAAGTCGAAATGGTTGAAGGTCAAAACTGACAGAATACGGGACTTTTCTTTAAAGGTTGCAATTTCCATGCTCTTTCTTGTTTTATTATATGGATAGAAAAGTATGAATGTTAGTTTCTAATGTCTCTAGAATTACTTGATTTTGACCTCTAAGACTTAAGTTTTGCGCAAAACATCGATCAAACATCAAATATATCAATATTCAACACAAAATGGAACATGGTTTGAATCTTACATCCAAAAGTACCTTCAAACATAAAACGAAGAATATCAGTGTATTTTATATATAAAACATGATTAAAATACTAGATAAATATGGGTAAAATTTATCAAATAATATAGTTGCATCAATGAGTTTCTAATGATGCCTTCTAAGTTTATCGATGTTCCATCCACCTTTCAAGTTTTGGTGAATAAGGTATTTAAGCCTTGCCTTAGAAAGTTTATTCTAATTTTCTTTGATGACATGCTTGTATATAGTAAGACTAAAGAAAAACACTTAAATCATTTAAAAACAATTCTAAAAACCCTATCCTTTCTTAAGTTGTATGTTAGATATCTAAATAAAATGTTTCATGTGAAAAGATTGAGAATTTAAGGCATACTATTTCTAAGAAAGGGGTAAAAGCAAACCTAAACAAGGTATAATCATGCTAAAATAGCCTACACCCATTAATCTAAAATCACTTAAAGGGTTTTTAGAGTTGAAAGGGCATTATAGAAGGTTTATTTGGAACTATAGAACCATAATAAAACCCTTAACTAAGCTTTAAAGAAAAGGATTTTTTTTTATTATGAGTCAATAGAATTGATTTTTGATAACATAAAGGTAACAATATCTAAACCTCCAATACTTACTCTACCACATGCCTCAAGCAGTGAAATTAAGGTTATTTTAATATAAAGAATAAACTATTATCTTATATAAATAAAGGACTCAAGGGGAAAGAATTGTATATATATACCTATAAGAAGGAATTCTCAACTTTCATATCAACTATATAGAAATGGAAATGAAAGCCTTCTTTATTAGGACAACTACTTAAAGTCAAGACAACTTAGCAAAGCTTTTGGTGTGGAAAACAAGTCTGAAAAAGAAAAATCATATAGAAAATATCCTATCCAGAAGGTTTGAAAAAAAAAATAGAATTGTGAACCATTACAATTCCTTTAATTAGTTGGATTGAGAAGCTAAAAAATAGTTATTTCAAGGATAAGAAAATTCAACAAGTGTTTTAACAGATTAAAAAGGATAAAATTGGTTCTCATAAGTACCATTTTAAAGGTGAACTTTTATTATACAAAGAAAGAGTGTTTTTAAGTAAGGAATTTCCTCTCAAGTCCTAAAGATCCTACAACGACCAAAGAAAGATGTTTTTATTTTTTTTTTTATTTTTTTTTGAATGTTTTTATTTTATTTTTATTTTTTTTTAGATGAAAGTTGATATAAATAATTATATCAAGCATAGTGATATTTATCAAAGAGTTAAGAGAACACTACACCTTATAGTTTATTACAACCTTTATTTATAGATTTCATTGAAGGATTATCTAAATCTAATTATTAGTTTATAATTTCAGTGGTTATTGATAAGTTGTTTAAATATGCCTGTTTTATTCCTATTATATACCCATACAGTGCCATTAAAATAACCCAATTATTCTCAATATGTCAAGAAGCCATATAAACTGCTAAAGAATATTATAACTGAGAGGGGCCCCACATTTACTAGTAAATTTTAGGATAAGTTATTTAGGGTTTAATGAACCCAACTGCACTTATCTTCAACTTACCACCCTTTAACTGATAGCTAGGCAAGAGTAATTAACAAAACCCTAAAAGGTTATCTTTGATGTTTAACAGGTGAAAACCTTAAAGAGTGGCCTAAGTGGCCCACAATGGCCAAGTGATGGTATTACATCAATTAATTACCACGCATCACTAAAATCTACTCCATCTAAGACGTTTATGGTTAAACTCCACCAGGACTAATAAACTGCATTCCAGGAATTACAAATAATGAAGCAGTGGATACACATTTGAAAGAAAGATTAGAAATAGTTCAAGGAAAATCTACGAAAGGCACAAGCAAGATAGAAACGTCAGGCTACTAGAAAAAGAAAGGAGGAAAACTTACAAGAGAGAGATTGGGTCTCTTTCAAGCTCCAATCAACCAACAATTGGGTTTGCATCAGAGAAGGAATCAAAAATTAGCATTCAGTTATTATGGTCCATTTTATATTCAATCAAAGTTGGGTCAATAGGAGTTGCTTGAAGAGACAGGAATCCATCCCACTTTCAACGTATCATTGTTGAAGAAGATGATTGGTTCGGAGGAACATCTGGAGCACAAGTTGCCTCCTTTTGGCTTGGAAGGAAAACTCAACCCAAAACCTATCGAAGTCTTAGGAAGTAGGGAGTGGAGATCTAAACTAAAGACTAAGAAAGAAATTTTGGTTAGGTGGGAAGGTCAAGGACAAGAGGATGCAATGTGGGTGGAGGAATCGAGGCTTAAGAAGGGTTACCCTCACCTTGAGGGCAAGGTGTTTTAAAGAAGGGGGAAATTATATAGATCCATAGTGGATCTGCCTCTAAAGGACAAGATCAAACTTTTCCAGTTTTCATTCTCTCTCGTTCAATCTTTTCTTTTGCAGGTTAATGGTCATTGTTTTAGAAATTGCCTTATGACAAATGGGAGCAACGTGTACGACCATGACTGCTTGCCACACGGGTCAGTTAACTTGGAAAGTTGGGAACGTTGCTGTATAGGCAAAACGTCAGTATATACAAGGAAAACTTGGTCTTTTAACAAATCCACAATCTCGTCTCCTGGAAGATCTGTTTTTAGTTTCAATTACTTAAAGAGATTACCTGTGTTGAAGAGCAACCAATCATGGGATATTGAATTTGAACTCCTTAATTCGCCTGTTCAATAGAGACTAAAGACCAAAGAGAGGAGCCCTGAACAAGCTCTCTGTTCCTATGGAAACTTCCTCCCTTGCCATCGTTTAAAATCTAATGAAGGCAGCCTAAAGAAAATACACATATTCAATTGTATTTTGAATTAATTTTTGTAGAACAATATTAAACAGTTCATTTAATTTGTTTCTCTTGACAGATCATTTGAGGTAAGTCCACTAAACGAAACTTGATTTTCAGGTCAAAAATTAAAGAAATTCTCAGATTTTGAATCAACTGAACAAGTTCAATAAAGATATTAGGATGCACCTTAAAAAGGGCTAAAAATCCAATGAAATTTTAGAACTTTATCTCAAAAACAAATGGAAGCTAAACTTCATATGCGCAAGTCTGAGAATCATGAAATGTCATGAGGCTGTTGAGACTAGCTGCTCTCTGGTTCGCTGGTTGTCTGAGATTCTCAGAAGTTGTCAATGGCCACCACCTGCTTTTAACACTAAGATGTAAATTACCAAAAAAAAAAAGAAAAAGAAAAACACAAATTAAAAGGGTACACTACTACTCCTAGAGAAAATAACAGAAATATTTAAATACAAAGCATAAAACAATGAATAGAGAAAGAACTGTCTTAACATGGTAAAGCATGCCATCTACAAAAATTGAGGCTAGTGTCGATACAAGATTGTCATATGTAAAGAGGGAATGGACAAAAAAAATACTCTCCCATCCATGTTCTCTTGTTGGCCACTACCCCTGTCCCTGTCATTACTCCTACCTCACTCATCGCCTCAAGCTTCCGACCAACAAAATAATGAATTGCCGACAACATAGTAAAAACCTACTATTCTCACATATCCCACATATTCCGACCAACAAAATAATGAATTGCCAAAAACCTACTATTCTCACATATCCCACATTCCGACCTTAAAATATTTGTATAGGACCTAAGCTAAACTCGACCAGAGATTGAGCCTTTGAATATAATCGTAAAACTGTGTCAGTCTTCTTTCCACCTGTTAACATAATTGAGAAAAGCATTAGCAGGATTTTCTCTTGGTAGAGCACGGACACGTGCAGATCTCCTATGCACAGCTTCTTCCAATGCAATTTTGGTAGCCAAATCTTTTGATCTCTTCTGGAGTTCCAAGCTGGTAACAGGATTTGAAGAAAAGTTAGTAGTTTAGGCACAAATAAAGAAAAAAAAATTGCATGGCAGTGCTGTTAGCAAGCTAATTTCAACATTAAAGAAGAAGAAGTCCTAAGCCTTACACAACATTGGCAGAAAGGGTCTAAACAGCTATTTCATTCCATGGCATGTAATTCAGGAGTTTGAATTCAAAAAGAATATTCAGGCTATTTTTGTTCTGTTGCAAATTGGATATAGCACCATTCTTATGCAAGTGACTAAATATCAGCTAATATTCTATGACAATCAGTTGAAGAGCCGCAATAGGGACTGTAGGACCATTCAATAACGAGTGACCATAGGTTTCAACTAGGGACCATTTTCCAGATAGAAACAAAGATTGTTCTAAACGCATTCAACGATCACTCACCAAATTCTACTGTAGAAATTCTCCATCAGCTTTTGAAGAGCCTCTCTCTCTCACCCTTGGGGTTCAGTGAGCCCATCAATGCATCAATCTGTTCAAAAGTGCCTAGTCTGATTCATTCAAATGGGAGAAAAGAAACGAAAAGAGTGGATGGGTAAAAGTTATTCAAAGCCGCTACCTCTTCCTTGCAACAATAATAGCCCCAAAGCTTGGAGTCAGAACTCTCAACAAAAACCCTCCCATCACGCTTGAACCACCAATACCTGTTATAATCTCGGTCTTTACCCAGAGAGTTGGTGTGCAGGATTCGTTTCTCTAGCTCACGTTCAAAATATGCTCTCTGCGGTATCATACAATGTCAAACCAAAAAAAGAAAAATGAGCACGGCAATATGAGAAAGCATAAACACATGCAGACATACACAAGGGACAAGGACAGTAAAAGATAAATAACCCTTTGCTCTTCGATGCTCCAAGTTGATGCAGCAATTTTTTCATCCCTCAGCAGTAGCAATGCTTCTTTTTTGGTTAAATCTATCCCCTTTTCTGCTTGGCTTTCCACACCCATATTCTTCTTCTTGCATGTTTTCTTTGATTCAATCTCCAAACGCCTACTGTCATGGTCCAAATTGTAATAAGCATTAGCCATGTTTATAATTATTCTTGTGTCCATTTTCATGTGTAAGTGTGTGCGCTTGTGCACTGACATGCAAAGAAGAAAAAAATCGCAACCTGTTGTTTGATGCATGGTTTGGTCTGGTTGAAAAGGCTTCTCCCTTGTTTTTTGCAATCTGCCCGTTCTGATCAATGTGATTCCCATTTGACAACACAGGTTGATTGTTTCCCGAGCTATCCAAACCATGCCCATTTGTTGCTCCATTATCAACAGACTTGGCCTTCAACCATTCCTTCTCTTCTCTTTTTTTCCTGCCCTCCTCCAGTGCTTCCCCCCTCTTCATTGATAAGAGTACCTGCCGCTCTTCAACATACCCAGCCAACTTCTGCCTTGCAATATCTGTTTCAAGGACTTGATTAACCAATTCTCTTAAGATTCCTAATTTGACCTGAGCATCGAGAAGGCTATAGTGCCCCCGCTTAATTGTTGTTATGTGAGTGGATAAATCACCGATGTTGATGATCTCTAAGAAATCACACAGATAGTCTGTCCAATTAGTTAATGTTATCTGTTAGAAAACCAGAAAAAAAAGGAAACAGAGGTCATCAACAGCTAGCACAATGAAGGCATGGTACAGAGAAGCTCCACAGAAGATCAGGGAGAAACAAAATTTTGTAGCTAATGAGGAAATCCATTTTTAAACAGAATTAATTTCCAGAATAGCAAGGGAATTGCTGCACTTTACCTTCAATGCTCGGGTTCTTTTCTGAACAGACGAAAAACATCCATCTTTCTCACTTTTTAGTAACCGAATAAGAGAAGAATGTGTTTCGACAATGAGATTCACATTGCTACACTTACAGCAAATGGCATTTTCAAAATCTTCAAGAGAGAACGGCCACAAGTGCAACAGCTTACTAAAGGAGGATAAAAAATACCAAACCATTAGAAGATCCCCAACACAATCCATTGGAACATTAAAGTCCCTAGAAGGCAAAGGGCGGACTGTAAAGACTGGATCATCTGTTTCAGGCTGCGCCAAAAGATCATCAATTGGATACTTGATAGGCTCTTCCTTTTGGTGATTATCTTCTGCAAGTTAAAATACAGCAATAAAAGAAATGGTCAAGTGATGATTTATTTGATATGCATGACCTTAAGGGAATTTTAACAGCAAGATTTCTGCTCAAGTTTCCTAGCCTCAATAAAAGAGAAAAAAATATATATAAAAAATGCTTAAAAAATATAAATAGCATATTGTAGAATAAATAAAAGTCAGGCTAAATTTAAAAAAGAATTAGGTTGCTTCTATATTTTTAACCTACCTTTCTTGGTGGCCTCAGCTTCCTCAGCTTCTACTTTTTTCTTCTTAAGTTTTCCAGAGTCTTTTACCTCCTGGACATGATGCATATAAGCCAATATGATATGTGATGAACTCAAACGACCAAACAAATGTTACAGTATATTTACCATTGCATCTTTCTTTCTTTTATTATAAACTACTCCATCCTGAATGAACACTTTGACTTTTAGATCTTGCGGTGGATCCCTTGATATTTGATATTTTTCTGCCAGTTTATCATGAAGCACCCAAGGAAAACTTTGGCGTGTAGATTTCCGAATAAAAGGCTTCAAACTGTTCCTACTGAAAGGGGATTTCTTCCATATCAGATCATCTCGGTTCACTACTGCAGTTTCTGTAACTATTTTATTCCTATCAAGCCATGCTACCTCATATTTTGTTTTAACTGTACTGTCCTCCAAAACCTTTAATATCTTGCAAGGGCAGAGATCACCTTTCTTTCTCTTTCCATGCAATTCTGCCCCTACAAACAAATGTTCCTGCAGCTTTGCTGCTATAGTGTCTGCAAGATCTTTTAACGAAAGCATACCTGAGAAACAATTGGCCTGTGAATACAGAAATATAGATCATGTGGATAAAAGTAAAAGCTGAACAGGCATTCAGAGAGACCCAAAGCCAATATTTGGATTTACAATAAACAATAAGCATGCATACCACTTTTTGATTTTCTCTTAAATGCGATTCAGATCATATTCAATGAAAAACTTCCATTTCAAATTTGTTTTATTGCACCAATACATTGAAAAGTGACAAACCACCTACTTTGAAAGGAAGGAACAAAATTATAATTGAGAGTAACAATAACTCATAAAATTTCTAAGTTTGTTGGTGTGTACAGTACAATGATAAAAGTGCATATGAAAACAGATTTGTAATTACATATCTCACCAAAAAGCTTATCCTTAGCCAAGCATTCATAGAATGAACATTATGCAGACAACTATTTCCTTGTTTCATGTAAACAGGGTTGGGTGGGCCATGGCATGAGCAGCATGCTTTCTTCTAGCAATTTGATGACTTGAGCAAAGAGGTTAGTTCATTGGAAACAGTAAAGAATATCAAATAAGTATCATCATCTGCAAACACATGTTATATGCACCAAGGAAATGATGTAATGGAATCAAAGGTTACTGTCACATCATATTAAGTAACATTATGAAAACAGTTGCATAGTATCAACCATGATGATGGATGATCTTTTAAGACACTCTATGACTAGTCTTGCAATTCAATGTGGAATAGCTTGTTTAGTAAGAGACTTAATCCATGCCAACATTATACCATCAGTTAGAATAATATGTTCCACAGTGACTGGCTCTTACTCTACTCCATGAAAAGTGGAGTAGAGAGCATTCAGAAAGAGAAGCACAAGTTCAGACATCAGCAATTCCCAGTTCAGGAATATGGGATAAATTAGTAGAACTAGATCAGTCATTATCATTCAAGAATATGAAGGCTACAGCTTTAAATATCCCAGGACACTGCAACAACAATTTGAAAACATCAAATTCCAGGTCACACCATTTGGGTTCAGATTGACAAATATAGCAAATGAAGACCAAAATTGTCAACTTCCTCAAGTACTCTGATCAATGTAGCTATGAGCTTGTTCAATTACATGCTACTAAAGGCAACCTACATATTGACCCAATCCACTGGTACATACGAGGAGATGAGTTAAAATATGCCTACACCCCATCTCCATAAAATCTAGTAAAGATACCTGCTATGCAGGCTACTATATGCAACTTGGAGGCCTGCTTTGCAACATGCAAAAATAAGATGTGCCACCAAGGCTGCATTGTGCTTGCAGATATGTCAAATTTAAGGTATTTTCAAAACTAGTATGAATACTTAAAAGTCTCCAGCACCAGCATCCACCCTCGCATTGTAATGAGAAGAATCACCATCTATCCCTTCTTGACCTCTGAGATGTCATGACATGAAAATAAGGGCTCTTTCCAATTCAAGATGCCCAAGTTTTCCCTTAAAAGTCTAACTATTTGAGAAGAGAAGAGTTTATGCATTGAACCTTAAATGCTATATGAAATGTTGGCATTGCAGAAAATTAATTAAAATAAGAAAAAATTATACATCATGTTACTGACATGCTGTCCAATGTGTCCACATTCTTTTGGCAAGGTTTAGAGTTTTGAAGCTGGTAAACTGCCAAACTAGAGCTTTGAAATAATGGATTATGGTACATCATAGATTGCAATTGCAATCGTTTTCCCTTGGGTTTGTAACACTAGCCTTTCAACATATGAAAGTCACGCAGATTTTCAACAAGCATAAAAGATTCAAACATATAATCTGCAAATAGGATTTTAAAACATTGTTGAACATAAAATTGTACAAATAAAGAAAAAATATGAATATTAGCTGATGCATATCAACAAGTACCCTTGTCTCCATTTTGTCAAACATGTCAACCTATATATCCATTTTCAGAAAGATCAAGAAAAGGCATAATTGTACAGTAAATCATGTGCCAAATATTCAACATGGAGCATATGGGGGTCCAAAAGAAATCCATATTGTATGAGCATCATCAAAGTAATCAATTATTGTGCAGCAGCTACAAAGGACAAAGAGGTAAAAGAACAGATCAATCAAAGTAAAAAAAAAAAAATCCATATTAATACATCAGATAGTTAGTTCTTACTAAACTGAATGGTGCGCAGTGCTGGGGTCATGAGCTCTTTGGGTATCTCTGGAACCTTCTCAGCTGCATGTTTTTCAGAAACTAATGCCTCTTCATAAGTCAAGTTACATTTTCCACTAACTTTACATGTCCAAAATCTTTGGCGATACAAGTTTATCCGGTTCAAATATACTCTGATTCAAGCTAAGGAAAAAAAAAAACCAACTGGCAGTGCATCTTAAATCATACAAGATGCCAATACCTAAAAGGCCTCCGCCCAAGAGAGTTTTGCTTGCTTCCATTAGAACGAGTAGTTCTTCTAGATACTAGATTAGAGAAAATGGGTTGGCCTACCAAATCGAAATAATTCTTTCAGCCGTAAGAATTCGAACTAAAGAAACTCATAACCTTGGAATATCTCTTTTGACCCTTTATCTTGTTCAAGGATACCCTAATCCAAACTAAGGAAAACGAACTACTAGTAGTATCAATTTGGCTGCAGAAAATAAGCAAGAAAACTAAAATAACAAAGATGTGGGCTCTATAATCCAATATCCCAAAGAAGACCTCCAATAAACAGAGTTTTCTAGGGCCTATTAGAAACTGTAAAAATGAAATAACTCATAACACAAATCCAATTAAAAATTTCATACAATAACTTTCCAGAATTTTGAAAGAAGGATACTCATAATCTCGGAATATCTCTTTTGTGAACCGAACTTGGTATACAAGCTCATTGGGCTCCAAATCCTTAGGAGGTTCCAGCAAAGTAAACGGCTTTTTCTTTAATAATGGCATTGTTGGAACCCACCCAGGTCAGAAACCACAAAATGTCGCTATATCCCAATGTCAAAACTTCAGTAACAGCACAAAAATACACCATAAGCAACCACCTACGCAATAACACAAATGAAAGATTGTTAACCAATCCAGAGCTAAAGATAATAAACTGAAATACATTCTTTGAATCACAATACATTCTTTGAATCACATTTTTCATTTCCTTATTTCATAATACAAAAAAATGAAAACCCAGATCAAATAAATTCAAGATACAGCAAAGTTGACATTTTTTAACACATTCCCCTTAAAGTAAGCTCCTTTCATGTCCAATTCTAACTAAACTGTCCAAAACAATAAGTTTTTTCGCATAGAAACCCTAGAAACGAGAGGGCACATTAGGTCACTCAATTCTAACAAATGCATAACAGGAAAAAAAAACTGTCGCATTGATCCAAAACATTACAATCACGCTTGTTTTGCAATAAATAGAAACCCATCATACTAAGACAGAAGAAACCCTAGAATTCATGCACCTTCACTTTCACTTTAGTACTCAGATTTTTTTTAAGGAAAAAAAAAAGAACTCATTTGCCAATATTTATTTAAAAACTATAAAATGATTTCTTTTTCTCTTATTTCACTGCCCGGAACAAAACAGGAAAAAACCATTTGCATAACCGAAAAAACTAACAAGGCACCAAAATCAGGTTCCCGCCACTAAATTTGGAGCAAAATCAGTCAAGAAGAAGAAGAGAAACAGGAAAAAAACAAAAAAGAGAGTGATAGAGAGAGGGAGCTAACAGGGAGAACTGGATGTGAGGAATGTAAATCAACAGAGAGAGAGAGAGAGAGGTGGTTCTTGACTCTCTGTTATTCTCTTTTTGTTGATTATTTATTGTTTCTTCCTGTGGTTTCGGAAGGTTCCAAAAGAAAGAAGAAACTTGGCAGCGGGTACGTTCGTTTTTCGAATGTTGCACCTGTTGTCCCTAGTCCCTTCTTCGGGGAACCCAAAATCATAGGATAAATTGTCTAGTTAGCAAGAAAAAAAAAACGAAATAATACATGATAAAAAAAAACTTTATCGAAATAATAAAGTGTAAGGATATTATATTTTATAAGCACAACATTTTAATTGTATCTCCTTTTAAAACAGTGATATTTTCCTAGATATTATTACTGTGACATGCAACAAAATTATAATTAATGTATGGGTCTAGAACAGCAATATTTATTAGCAGGTTGTTTTAAAAAATAGCTAAATATTTTATAAAAATAATTGGATAATAGTCAAAATAGTCCAGTTATTTTGAAAAAATATACTATCATTTTAGCTATCATCTAGTTTTGAGATTTTTTTGTGTTTTTAGCCTAAAAAGGTTTATAAAATTATTGTTTTTGTTAACCTGAAATTTAATAATTTTTAAAAATTAAAAAAATTATAATTTTAACAAAATTTGAACAAAGAGTCCCTAATATACAAATTATATCCAAAATTTCATTCCACTTAAAAAGATCTGCAAAAAATCACAATAATTTTGATCAATAAATTCTAACTAAACTCAACAAATTCTTACATTTCATAACCACAAGTAACCATATAAATAAAAAAAAATTAAAAAACACATATATACATTTTACATGAATAAAAAATAATTCATCCTATTTGATATTCAAGTAATCCCAAAATATAAAAATATAAATCATTTATCTATCTACGTTTATGTCATCTACTAGATGATTCAGGTTCATTAGTAGCACGACTAAATTCAGCTCCTACACCTACCTATATGATCTTGTCTTTTACCACGGCACCATTAAGAGTCAACAGCTCTTAAAAGATATCGAGTCCAGTGCGACAAATATTTAACCATTAAGACGTAACAATATGAAATTTACTTTCTTTATCAGTATTACAAAGATAAGATGTGGCCTCTCGACCCTTTCATAGCATGAAACCAACCTAATATTAATAAAACATTAAAGTTAAATTAAAAGATCAATACATAAAACCCAACATTTAACATTTCATAATTATAAAAATATTTAATTACTTACAAGATTTTGAATTCGTTGGGCATGTTGCTTGTACTATATGTATCTATGTGGTGGAACCTGCTCGTGATCCGGAATAATGACCTGACTTGTGATATTCATGTACCAAATCATACGCGCCTTATTTGTATATGTATGATGCATCTCTGTAAATATCTCATTTTTTTGTGCATCAAACTATGATATAGAAACTCCATGTCAGCTTAACTAGTCATAAAGGAAAACTTTGTCAAAATTTCATTTGAAATTTTGGTGAAATTTTAAGTACACATTTGTTTTTAAAAAAACAATTACTTGTAAATATTCCTGATAATAATAGGGAACGTTATATTTAGTATCAAAGCATTGGTAAAATGTTTCATGGAATGAGATACTAATATGAAATTGAAAACATGTTTCAAGAAGCTTCATACCGGACAAGAAGCAAGACTAAATTGTCTTTGTCTCAAGGAAAGGAGCATCTCATACTCCATGAAGATGATGGTGGGGAGGAAAATCCATTGGCAAATATCGCTTCCCACATACTTGTAATATCAATACACTCCGGATACTTGTAATATCAATACACTCCGGAAGGGGGTGAAGTGATAGGATATCAAATGGATGTTAATTCTTATCAAGCAAAAAGGGGTGAAGTGATAGGATGTCAAATGGATGTTAATTCTTATCAAGCAAAGGTAGTTATGCATAGGATGACTTATAAATAAGGGAAGCCAAATGGACCCTCGTTAATGGCGTCGGTTGTCATACTAGCACTTTACTTTGACCTTGTCTTCTTGAAGCATTTAATTAACGCAATAACAGTAGGGTTAGCTGAAGCATTTAGTGCTGCACCTAAAATAGATAAAATGGTCATATTGGTATACTAGGTAAAAGGAATAAGGGAAATGGGTTGTACAACATATTTAGGGGGAAATGATTTTGAAGTTATTGGACATTAGGTGAGAAAAATGGAAAAAAAATGTTGAATTAGATGTCAATACCTTAAGAGCTTTGGGTTCATTGTGCTATCCAATTATTGGCAAAGAGTGCCCATTCTTGGTGGGAGATGATTAGGGAAAGGAGATTGGAAGAAGTATTAATATGGAAGGATTTCAAATAAAAGTTTGAGGATTGTTATTATTCTTAGTAGCATCAAAAGGATAAGGAGTATAAGTTTTTGGATTTAAGATAATAGGATATGACCGTGTTAGAATAAGAAAAGAGATTCCAAGATTTATTCATTTTTGCTTTATAATATCCTCGCATATAGAGATTACATGATGGGCTCAGACCAGAACTGAAAATGATATTGATAACTATATTGTTTCATATAGTATGAGAATCGATACATGCTACCCAAGCTATGAAGAGGGTGATAAGGAATAATAAAAGTCAATGAGCTAAATAGGGATAAATAACAGGGTCCAAGAAAAGGGAATTTACGTTTTCTACCGATATACCTCCTTTTCTCAAAAAAGAAAAAGGTGGGCAATCATTTGGATAGTTTTCAGGCAAAGGAGGAAACTTTATTCTAGAGGGAGTTTAGGGGGTCCATACAAATTGGCAGTGAAGGATCCTCTAGCGGTCAAGTTTGTTAAGAGGTGAGTACGATAAAAGGGTCTACTAAGCAAAAAAGATCTATATATCTGTTATATAACAGATGCAATTAGAGACACCCTTAAAACTATACAACTTTGTTTAAAAGGTGTTATATATGCTGAAGAGAGGGACATAGATGGAAAGACTGTTAGTTCTTAGGCATAAGATGTTATTATTATGGAGAGTCAAGTTATAGGATGGAGGATTGTCACCATCATATTACTACGGGTACTTAGGGCCAATAGACTGCTACCTAGTCAATAATACTCTATAATAGTTGATAAACTAGTAAGACCTACTCCGTTAGGGGCGAATGCTAATCGGGACCAACTTGGGTTATAGGAGGAAATGACACAAGATGAAGTATACCATATGACATATAAGGATATAAGAGTTGTACATGATGTATGGCAGGTATATTACAATTATAATCAATGCATTTTTATACTTTCTTTGATCTAGGAGCAAGTCATTCTTATATATCTTGGTGAATTGTAAACAACTTGCACGTTTTGCCTAGTAAAATAGAAATAAGAGTGACTATTAATACACTTAAGAGAGAATGTAGATATATAAAATACATATAAAGGGGTTAGACTTTACATTAGGGAATATGAGTTGATGGTAGATTTAATACCTCTAAACTTACATGGTTTTGATTTGATCTTAGGTATGGATTAGTTGAGTATATATCAAGCACAAATGGATTGTTTCACTAAAATGGTGGTTATCCAACTAGAAAGGGAGAG